CCGCAGCTGACAACTGTGACCACAGGAAAATTGCTGTTGGGGAAAAAAAAAAAAGCTGCAGTCAGAGAAAAATCCCCGCATGCCTAGAAAGGAAGGACAGGCAGAAGATGTACCTTTGTGTTGGCGGATTTTATAACATGATGTGTGCTGCTATTGGCTATTCAGTTTTCTGTGATGTTTTTCTTGCTGCTATGGGGAGTCAGTAAAGAGAGTTATGCAAAACATGAAGCCTCCTGTCTTGCCATAAAATTCAGATTTTGTCCAAATCCGGAACCCGAATCGAATTGAATTTCGGATCCAAATCCCGAAATAACGAAATATCTGAACCGTATTTTTCCGCAGCTTACATGTCTAATATACAGCAAGTAAGCTCTGACTGTTTAACCCTTTCGCTGCCGTCGGCATACCTGTATAAAGCTGACTGTTGGCCTTACACTGGAAGCAATTCTGGCACTGACCTGCCTCTAGATCCATGGGCTGGTAAATTGGTACCCCCCACCCATCTGACACCTGCCACATTACCTCCCAGACTCCGCTGCCCCTCCTGCGGGACCGGCTTCTCTGGTGTCGGGGGGAAGCTTGGTAGGAGATCGGTGAACCTCCATCCACCGATCTCCTCCCCGCACTATGGGCCCGGGAGCGATGGAGATGACATCACTTCCGGTCCCTGAACTGTCAGTGCTCGGCTCCTGAAGCCCAACACTAAGCTATTGAAGTGCCATCTGCACTTCAATAGCTTATTTCTAGTGTAAAGGTGACACTGGGGGGCTTGTAAGCCCCCCATGTGATAGCAATTAAGGTAAAGTTAAAAGAAAAAAATAATAGTTTTTAAATTTAATATTAAATGAAATAAATGTAAAAATAATTGTAAAACGTTATTTTTAAAGTCCCCGCCCCTGTGAACATGCGCGTCTTCACGTAAACACGCGTCGGGTGTGCCTACGTATGAAAACGACGATTGCGTTACACATGTTGGGTATCGCCGCACACGCCAGAGTGAGAGTAATAATTCTAGGGCCAGTATTTACACGTATCTCTAAACTGATGACCTGTGGGGGCTTTTAAAACGTTGTCTATGGACTTTTTGCGGTACTGAATTCTGTCGCAGTTTCACGGACGCAAACAATTTTTAACCTGGGCATGTTGGGTATCTATTTACTCGTAACCTCATCTGTAACAATTGTGCTCCACATGTTGGGTATTGCAGCGTGTGACAGAGTGAGAGCAATCGTTCTCGGGCCAATATTCACAGGTCACTCTAAACTGACGTGTCGCCTGTGGACAATTTTGGGTACCGTATTTTGTTGCCGTGTCACGGGCACACACATTTTTAAGCTTGACATGTTGGGTATCTATTTACTCGGCCTATAATGTGGATTGTAACATGTGCAAAAAACGCTATGGCAGCAAAAGGGTTAAGCCACACCCCATTTTCAGTGCAGTGTAGATACTCCCACTTTTGCAGTTGCACGTTCAGCATGTCACCTGATGGGGCGCATCTCGGGTTGCCACCTTTTCTTCCAGTGAAACCCAAACAGCTACAAGCTAGCGACGCACTGAATTTTTTTCCGGGAGAATGAGTTGCGGCCTATTCATATGTAAATAGCGCCGCCCATTCATATGTAATTATCATAGTTGAAACTATTTTCAGTGGGGGGCCAATAGCTCTTATCTTAATTTTGGTTGCCCCCGTCTGCCTGACATCTTGTGTCCGGATTTCAGCTCCCATGAAACCCGGACACAGCATTTAAATCCCGGACTGTCCGGGTGAATCCCGGACAGGTGGCAACCCTAGGAGCTTCCCTCCTTCTCAAGATGGAAAGGTATGGGTGAGAGGTATGTGTTAGGTCTTCCCTTACACCTAGGAGCAGAAACAGGACATATAACACGCTTTCCTCCTATAGGAGCCAGTACACGGATAGCAGCGTTTACATACACAATACATAGAGAAAACCGATTGATCCGAAGTCTGATCGTGAATAAAGATAGGAAACTGAGAAGACTGCACCTTCCGAGGACTGATCATAACCAGCGATTGCGCAATGCCGGGTGTTTATCACTGGGACAGAACAAAGTGTTGTGAAATGTGGATGTTATTCTTGTACTTGTTCCTTCCTGATGTTACCTGACCTGCGGTGTATAGAGAGGTCAGGCAAAGGGTGTATATAAAGTGTACCTGTCAATGCCGGGAGCTATTGTTTGTCTCCGGCAAGGTGACCCGCACAAAGTATCACAAAAACTCAACACAAATTTATTTTATTGCTCCATGATCTGATGTGAAGAGGGGCTGCTAGTGTGAGAGGGGGAGACTCTGATGTAAAAGCAGGGGGCTCCAAATGTGAAGAGGAGCTAAAGATGTAGAGGAACTCTGATGTGAAGGGGCCTCCAAATGTAAAGGGGGAAATATGAAGGGGGGCTCTGATGTGAAGGTGTCACCTAATGTAAAGGGGAGCTCCTGAAGTAAAGGAGAACCCTGATGTGAAAGGGGAGATTGTAATGTAAAAGGGGGGCTCTGATGTGAAGGGGGAACATTAATGTGATAAGGAGGAACCCTACTTCTTGGGTCCCCCCATTAAAATCCACACCAAACCCCCACCCTGGATAAGGGTCTGGTAAGGATTTTGAAGGGGCCACACATCAAGTTTTTATATTTTAGACTGGGATGCCTTGAAATTTTGCATAATTTATAAGGGGTGCCGTGAATGAAAAAAAAAACGTTTAGAAGCGTTAATCTGGTCCACAGAGAGGGGGATGGGAACAATGCTAAATACAATGTACAGCAGAGGCAGAGAGCACAAGCAGGAGGTTGGGAACCAAAGCAAAGTGGCCATGCCGCGTTCCCTGCATGTGATTCCACTTATCCCTTTATAGCAATTGGAAATCATACTTGGCACAGCGTTTACTCATCAATAGAATTTATTTGCATTGATATCATCTGGTTACAAATACTAACATTTAATATGACGACTGGACATGTGCAGCGGCTAAAAATTAATTACGTTTCGTTTAGTTTCGGATTTCGTTTTTGGAATTCGGATCCTACATGTGTTTCGTTTTGGGAATCGGATTCGGATCTGATCCGGAATTCGGATTCGGATGAATTCCTGAAAATTCAACTTGAGGTGGGGTAGCAGAATTGGCACATTTGTCATTTCTGGTTGCTGTGCTCTAGTCTTTACTATTAAAGGAGAACTATGGGGTTAAGTCTTTTCCCCATAGTTCTCCTTAGGGTAACGGGAGGACACAAACTAGCATCCTCCCGTCACCCTAAGCTCAGTATACCGCAAGCTACAGCTCGCATTATACTGAGAGGCTGCAGCTGACAATTATGTCTGGATCCGCCCAGCTGCGTGACTGACAGCTGGCTCTGCCTATCTAGAGGCAGAGCCAGCTGTACCCGCCCCCTCCCCCGTCCGTTCTGCCAGTCAGCGCTGGCGGAGCGGGGAGGCGGAATCCAGCCCCTCCCCCTGTCACGGCAGAGAGCCGTGACAGGATTGAGAAGTGAGCGAACGCCGGTATGTGTTCGCTCACCTCCCGATCTACTGAGCCGACCTGTGACAGTCTCATTGTCACAAATAATACGCTTTACAGCGGACCCAAAATCTAAAAAGTGTACAATGCACCTTCTCCATGGGTGGTCTGTTTTTGTCTGATGTTCGCACTACTGATATGGATGATCCAGCAAAAGGAAGCAGCGTGCTGTAGTAATTATGTAACAACCAACAGAAAGGTTTTTTATCTCCGGACCCATGGCAGCATTCCAATAGTCCCTCTCTGTACAGTTGTCTCTTCTGGTCTCAGAGCCTTTTTTGCTGGTGAGGAAATAATCTCCTTTGGGCCACAATGAAACATTTGATTACAATAGAAAATGTTACTTCTTGTTGCTTTTCGAATATATCGGTGTACTAGTGGGAAAATACAGATCTGTAGGGATGCCGGGAATGCCTAATTTCATGAGCAATAGACTGGTATCGCCAATCAAGAAGCATACGTCAGGCCATGGTGAGACTACTCCAGTATGGTGTCAGTGGGTCTGAAACAGCCCAGGAACGTTTGAGGGATTATTTAGTCTACATTGCTGTAACCAGGTTAGCGCACCTTATATATTGGCATTACAATGATAGAAATTGGTTTAAAGGGGACCAATCAGGAATGGGCATTTGCAGCAATCTGAATCTCCACTCTTAAGTTATCAAAATTGTTCAGCCTCATTTCTTAGGGATGGATGTGTGTGCTGTTATTTAGTTGTATTCTCTCCCCGTCACAGCAGCCATGTCAGCTAAATGTCAGGTTGAAGGGCCGCACAAAGGCTGACCTGGAAGACAGTCGAACTCTTGTGAGGGGAATTTATCAAAACTGGAGCAGTCACAATTTGGAGCAGCTGTGCACAGCAACCAATCAGCTTCTCTCTTTCAATTTTAAATCCTGAAAACAAACTGAAGAGAGAAGCTGATTGGTTGCCCTGGGCAACTGCTCCAGATTTTGTCTGCTCCAGTTTTGATAAATTCCCCTCTCAGTGTTCGACTGTCTTCCAGTAGACTGGAAATCAGCTCCTAGCTGAGGCAAGAGGCAGGTCAGCCTCTGTGCGGCCCTTACAGCCTGACATTTAGCTGACATGGCTGCTCTGACAGGGGGTGAATACAACTAAATATCAGCACACACATCCATCCCTAAGTTCCTAAGCCTTTAGTTTTCTATAATTCATCCCTGATGGCAGCTTTGTTTTATGACACTTTTTTTGTCTCTGTTGTAAGCACTGAGCTCGGGCAGAAGTTAGGACACCCTTACAGCCCAATACTTCTACTCTGACAGGGAGAGAATACAAGTTAACAACAAAAAACCTCCCTGAAAACATTCCTCTAATCCCATAGAGGAAAGGTTGCTCTATTATACTATCCCAATAGCGGAGGTTCAGATTATTACAGATGCCCCCTAGGTGACTGGTCATCCTAAGCAAAGTTTGGGCTACATGACATTGGGCTCTCCTTATGCCAGAGGTAAGTGTAAACAAGAGTCACTTGGGCTTCCCGCAGTCTTTATACAAATGTTAGATGTTTGTCAGCCGGGACGTTGTATTGAGTTTTGTGCTCCTCGAACAATTCGCTCAGCTTCTCCAGGTAGAGTTTGTGCAGATCTATCTGACCTCCGGCCTTCCCTTCAGTCTTCTATCTGACCTCCGGCCTTCCCTTCGGTCTTCTATCTGACCTCCGGCCTTCCCTTCAGTCTTATATCTGAACTCCGGCCTTCCCTTTAGTCTTATATCTGACCTCCGGCCTTCTCTTAAGTCTTCTATCTGTCCTCTGGCCTTCTCTTAAGTCTTATATCTGAGCTCCGGCCTTCTCTTCAGTCTTATATCTCATCTCCGGCCTTCCCTTCAGTCTTATATCTAAACTCCAGCCTTCTCTTCAGTCTTCTATCTGACCTCCGGCCTTCTCTTAAGTCTTCTATCTGACCTCCGGCCTTCCCTTCAGTCTTATATCTGACCTCCGGCCTTCCCTTCAGTCTTATATCTGACCTCCGGCCTTCTCTTAAGTCTTCTATCTGACCTTCGGCCTTCTCTTAAGTCTTATATCTGACCTCCGGCCTTCCCTTCAGTCTTCTATCTGACCTCCGTCCTTCCCTTCAGTCTTATATCTGACCTCCGTCCTTCCCTTCAGTCTTATATCTGACCTCTGGCCTCCCCTTCAGTCTTATATCTAAACTCCAGCCTTCTCTTCCGTCTTCTATCTGACCTCCAGCCTTCTCTTCCGTCTTCTATCTGACCTCCGTCCTTCCCTTCAGTCTTCTATCTGACCTCCGTCCTTCCCTTCAGTCTTATATCTGACCTCCGGCCTCCCCTACCTGTATATACATAAACATCATTAATGGTACACATATTGGGTATCCCCATGCACGCCAGGAAAAGAATAATTTTCGGGTCATTGGTGTAACACTAAGATAAGATGAGACGTTACATTTTGTAACATGTTTCCTACTTCTGGAGAATCTTCATTCTTCACCGTCCTGGTCCTAGAAATATTTCTTATCTATCAAACTCCGGCCTTCCCTTCAGTCTTCTATCTGACCTCCGGCCTTCCCTTCAGTCTTCTATCTGACCTCCGGCCTTCCCTTCAGTCTTCTATCTGACCTCCGACTTCTCTTAAGTCTTCTATCTGACCTCCGGCCTTCCCTTCAGTCTTATATCTGACCTCCGACCTCCCCTCCAGTCTTATATCTTACCTCCGGCCTTCCCTTCAGTCTTGTATATGAGCTCCGGCCTTGTCTTCAGTCTTATATCTGTCTTGCACTGTTGTACCAGCTCCTCTCCTGGACATTGTGCATTAGATGCAGCAGCAAGTCAGACAGAGCCAGACTCATTCCCTGGCTGAACGTTCTCCGCTCTCATAACTGCTCTCCATCCTGAACGAATGTGCTGTGGTCCGGGGTCAACCCAGAAGAGTGGAGGACCCCGAAGACCACGGCGGGGAGGGAGACGGCCAACTGGGAGAGAGGCAGCCGGTGGGGAGAGAGGCAGGAGGGGGGCAGACCTGCAGGCATATTACAAGTGACCTTGGCGGCATCACCAGGATCAATTGTACTAAAAGAGACGCGCCTTCCCCCCTCTACATTTAGCCCTGCTTGCTCCAAAGCAGGGCTAAATGTGGAAAAAACTACCCCCCTGCGGCTGTGCTGCCCCTCTACTCCCTGCCGCCCCTAGGCCAGACCTCAGTGCCCTGGTGTGAAATCTGGCCCTGCTTACAGGAATACGGGTCCTAGGGAGACACTCGTACCTTCTCATCTCTTGTCCCGGTGTCACCAGGCCAGGAAATAAGAGGAAATCCGTTCAGCTATAAAAACCTAACAAAGGTCCTGACCACTGCCTGCTCTGGTTTTGGCCGCAGTTGTGGTTTGGCAGCTGCTTATAACATCACAATATGGAAAAAGCGGCCCCACAAGACAAGCCTGACGGCAGAGATCATCCCCCCCCTCCCCCCTGGTGTTGACTTTACATAACACTGCCTAGGAGGGGACATTAGTGCAATTAGCTTCTTCTAATAATACTGAACCTGACATCAGCCGGCATGTAACAGGATCTAAAGGAACACGGAGTACAATGTACTGTTTGCAGGTCACATTAGTGCAGGACACAAGGGGAATTATTTATCCATCTATCGGACGTGTTGTCATCACATCAAGCTTGTCAGCAAGATCCAGAGTGTCCCTCATCCTTCTCCTCGAGGTAAAGGAGCTCCGGACAAGGACAAATATTCAATGAGCTGATTGCACTGGAAAGGAACCATTGCGCTTAAAGCTAAAGTTTCATCTATTTTGCCTTCCCGGGTTCCTCCTCTTCCCCTTCCCCTAAAAAAAAAAATACTAATACATTTTAAATAAAACTTGCATTTTTATCTCATATCTTATTTTGGTCTCAGTGATGTCATCATTGTTAGAATACACATTATTGTGTATAGCAACAACTTCTGCAGTATACATTTTCGGCCACTAGATGGCAGTGTTTATAAGATCTGTAATATATATGGTGTAGATACTCAGTTGTATTAAATAAGGTGGAGAATAAAGCTGTGGCTTCCTTCCTGTTTTAGCCAAGCCATGTGCAGCATGCATATCAGACTGTGTGCTTGTGTTTCTCTGTGAGGCTGTGCAAGAAGTTCAAACACTCACTGGGTCTTTGTGCTTTTCTATGCCATGCAGGCAGATCATCGCTAGTGGAAGGTGCTGTAGACAACTTCACAGCGCCCTGCCTCAGTACCGGCTTTAAAAGGCATTGGACCTGATGCAAGCAGTGGGCTGGCTCTTGGGAGGAGTTATGCAAATATAAATGACCTTGATGTGGGTGCATGTCAGTGTGCAGGAGTCAGCTGTTCCTAAGCAGGCTGTGTTTGCATGCGGACCACCCTAGGTAACGCCCACGTGTGATGATGAGGCTGCACGATTGAAGGAACTGGAATCCAATAAATGAAACGGGCGGGGCCATTGAGGGAAGAGCTAAATGATGATGAACGTCGCCAAGCCAGGAAATGAGGCGGGCTCTATCTGACTTGCTGCAGCCTCTAATTGTGAGAAGCTCGCAGTGTGCAGTGATATCAGAGGAAGCCATTCCAGTCCAGGAGAGGAGCCGCTACAACTGTGCAAGACTGAGGCTAGGTTCACACCTGAGTGACTCCTGGCAGCAAGGGCAATCGTGCACAAAACAGCAGTCACGGAGTCGCCCACCGCAGCCGATCATAATGGCACCCCAGTCATGGCGGACGGATCTGGCGCGGATTCCCGGCGCAAATCCGCCCGTGCAATTGAACATGCGGCTAATTAGATTTAAGTGACTGC